CCCCCTGAAATTAAGGGGCTAAATCCCAAATTAAAACCGAATTATCCCCCCCCCCCCCCCCCAACCCCCCAACTCTTTTGATGTGAAACCACTGCCACTAATTCCTTCCCAGCCTAAAAACCTGGGACAAGCTGGACAGGGAAAAACCTTCCCTAATGAACTGCCCCGGGAGTGGGGAGGTGATAATCCCGTCTGCATTCAGGCTTTGCTAAACCCAACCTCTCCCTCTCTCTCTCTCTCTCTCCCTCTCTCTCCCCCAGCCCCTCCTTGAAGTTAAAAACTTTTGGCTCAAGAATGTGGTTGGGTTGTTCCTCCCCGCTACTCCCACTCCTCCTGCACCCCTTTCCCCGGCTCAAGGCCCTCCCCCTTGGCCAATTTGGATGAGGCTGCACCTTTTCTTCTCTTCCCCTTCAAGAGTGAGGGTTTTTTAGTTCCCTTCTTTTCTGCCCCTCAGATCTCCCACTTTAAACAAAGGAGCTCTGGGCACATCACCACTTCCAGGACGTAAAAAAGGTATTTAAAAAAACCCACTTTCAGACTAAAAAAAAAGCCAGAGCTGCCAGAGCCGGTTTCTTTTCTCTTTCTCTTTTTTTTTTAACTCTGTTACATTGGGGTTTTTGCACAGTTTTTTGGTTTGTTCTTGTAGTTTTTTGTTTTGTTTTGTTTTGTTTTTAATCGATTTAATTTGCACACTCCAAGCCTTTTGCCTCGGGAAACGTCTCCTGCTCCCTTCCCAACACCCGGGTTAAAATTCTGATTTACTGGTTGATTCTCTCATTGCTCTCTCAGGGTGTTTCGTACAAGTGGGGGGCTCGCTGGGATTTCTCAGCGCTGAGGAAAAAAAAACTCCGGAGCCTTTTTTTTTTCCTTCTTCTTCTTTTCGTCGTTGTTATTTAAATTTTTAACTCTCTCGCCGGGTGTAAACGACTTTTCCGGGCTCTCTCAGTAAGACTTGGGCGAGCGCTCTCAGGGTTCGGGGATCGATCGTTTCTCCAGGATTCTCAGTTCTTCTCCGGGAGAGGAAATGGAAAAGCAGCAGCTGGATTTTTCTTCGCTTGAAATTTCTGCGGGGGCAAAACTTTATATTTATGCTTTTTACCACTTCTTTTTTTTTTGTTTGTTTGGGTTTTTTTGGGTGTTTGGTTTTTTTTTCCCCCCCCCCCCCCTCTCTTCCCGCATCTGTCCCGCACCTCTGGGAGAGGGAACAACTCTCCCTTTTGTCTCGCGGGGATAACCGGACCCCGGCCAGGCGAAGTCAGAGCTCTCAGGGCTCTGCAGGAAGGGCAGTTTCTTTGTCTCCCAGCCCTGCCTTTCCCCCCCTTCCCACTCTCCCTTCTCATTCACTGAAATATTAGAGCCTGCAAAGAGGAAAAAAAAAAAAAAAAATCCCTGCCCTCGCGAGCTGACACATTCCCAGCTGGGAAAAAAGCAGGGGAGGGAAATGAGGTTTTAATTATTTTCGAATATTTTTTTTTTTAAAGCCCCCTTTTTTTTTTTCAATATTTTTTTTTTTTTAAATGGTTCAGACACATTTTCTGTCTTGTCTGGGCTGATTTTTTTTCCCCTTTTTTTTCTTTTTTTTTTTTTGTTTTTTTTGCCTGCTTTGAGGCCGGGCTGGAACGGGAAAGCTGCTGTGGGAAAGCAGGGGGGACAATCAGGGGGGGACTCGGGGGCCCTTTTCCCTCCCCGACGCTGCTCCCGGGGCCTCTCTCCAGCTCCAGATTGTTTCCACCCTGGGCTGGAGACGGGAGATCCAGCAGCATTTGCCTCCTTGAAAGACCAGATTTTTTTTTGGGGAGGGGGGTCTCGAGGTGAGAGATGGATCCTGACCCTGCTACCAGGCAGGAGGAGGAAGGATGGGCTTCCCAGTTCCACAGGGGGAAATTTGGGAATCGGGGGGGTGATGGGGATGAGGGGGAGGAGAAGGGGGTGCAGAGTGTGGAGTGTGACCCACTTTCCAGAGCTTTTTCCTTGGGTTTTCTTGTTGCCCCCCTCCCTGCTCCCCACACCCCACAGCAGCCCCCCGGGTCACAGTGGCCACCCCGGGGAGTCACTGAATGTCCCCGTGGCTCCGGGGGGGGTCAGTGCTGTGCCAGGGTCTTCACCCCTTCCCAGGGCTGTTCTCCTTCACCCCAGAGCCCCCCAGACCTGGGATGGCTGTCAGGACTGAGCCCACCCTGGGCTCCTTCTCCCCAGCTCTGCCCACGGGACCCCCGGGCCGTGTCCCTGTTTTCCCGGGAATGGGTTTGCTGGTGGCAAAAAAAGCCTCTGGGGGTGAAGACCTGCCCTGGTGTGGTTTGGGGCCAGCCTCTGGGTCTGGAGCTGTGTCCATCTCCCAGGCTCTGGAGCTGGGCAAGCTGTGCTCATCCCAGGGGGTGAGGGGTCTCCTTCCTGCCTCCCTTGGCTCACTCCCCTTCTCCACAGAGACTTTGGACCTTTATCATCCTTCTCCTCGTGCCTCTCAGCTGCCTGTCCCACCTCAGGAGCTCTTCTCCATCCCTCCAGCATGTCCACCCTCTCCTCTGTCCCTTCCCTCTCCATGGAATCCAGGCTTAGCTTGAGGCATCTTCATTCCTTGGTCCCAGCTCATGGTTTTCCCTCTCACTCCAGCCCACCAGGACCCTTTTTCCTGCTGGTGTGCGCTGGTGTCTGTGTCCCTCTGATGGTTTCTCAGCAGACCATTCCCCTCAGGCAGCTGGAATGATCCGGGAGGTTGTTTTCCAGCAGCTGGAAGTGAACCTCCACTCCATGGCCTGTCCGGAGTGCAGTGGAGTCAAACAGAGCTGGGAAGATGGTCCATAAATAGGATCTACTCTTTCCTGAAGTTCTCCTCCTGCTTGGTGGGCTTGTTTTCTCCACCAGGAGGGCAGGAAAATAGATGGGAGACCCTTGGACATCTTCTCTTGGTCTCCAGCTCTTGGGAAAGAAGGGTTTGGCACCACAGTGGTTGGGAGCCAAACTGGGTGGGATTGTGCGACCCCACGGTGTTGAGTGGGATGAGAGAAGAGTGGGATGAGAGAAGAGTGGGATGATATAAAGGTGTTAGAAAGCCCTTGAGAACACTGGCCTCTCTCTTTTTCTCTCCCATCTTTCCCCTCCTAGACCGGGAAGGGCAAGGACGGCACCTCGGCGCTCGGGGGGACCCGCCGCCGAAAATCCGCAGCGGGGAGACCCTCGCGGCTGGAAGGAGCTTTCGGGGGACTCGAGGGGTTCTGGGCCGTCGTCCACCATGGGGGTTTTGTGGCTGGCCAGGCTGGTGCTGGGATGTACGGCGGTGGCGTGCGTGGGGCACGCCCGGGCGCAGTACGAGGGGGACCTGCAGACGGACAGATTCGCCGGCTACGAGGAGAGGCCGCCCAGCAGGGTGAGGAGGAGAGGCCAGGACTCGTTACGAGGGTGAGTTTGGATGTTCTCCGGTGTTTTCGCGTGGCAGGGGTCAGGTTGTGAGCTCGGCTGGGCCGGAGGGGTTGTTTTTCCCTCGGCTCCCACTGTGGGGGACGTCCAAGGAGGGTCCTGTGGGAGCAGAACTGGGCACTGAGCTCTGTTTGGGGGTCACAGCACCTCGAAGTTCATCTGCAGTGACAGTGAAGAGCCACCCACACCCACCTGTTGGTGGGAGGGATCCCCTTGTTTGTCCTCCCTGGGAGGGTGGGGAGATCCCTGGCACGGGTTGCCCCATCCCTGGAAGTGTCCAAGGCCAGGTTGGAGATGGGAAGGTTCCAGGGAGACCACAGAGCCCCTTCCAGGGCCTGAAGGGGCTCCAGGAGAGCTGGAGAGGGACTTGAGACAAGGGATGGAGGGACAGGACACAGGGAATGGCTTCAAACTGAGAGAGGGGAAATTTAGATGGGATATTGGGAAGGAATTCCTGGCTGAGAGGGTGGTGAGGGACTAGGATGGATTTCCCAGAGAAGGTGTGGCTGCCCCATCCCTGGGAGTGTCCAAGGCCAGGTTGGAGTACCCTGGGCTAGTGGAAAGTGTCCCTACCCATGGCAGGGGGTGGAATGGGATGGGCTTTAAGGTCCTTCCCACCCAAACCCCATGGAGCCACGGCTGGGGCTGCGTTTTCCACATCGCTGGCGGGGATGTTGTCGCCTCAGGATTTGACCCTGGAGTTGCCTTTGGCTCTGCTGCTGGTGGCTGTGGGCTGTGCTGGGAGGTCGCTGCCCCTGAGAGCTGCTTTGCCAGGAGTGTTTCTGAGGGGAAGGTGTCCCCCAGCCCCTCGTTGTGCCTCGTGGGCTCATCTGTGGGACAAATCAGCACGAGAACCCATTTTCCACCTGAGGAGGGAGACAGGGCCCGGCCAGAGGCTCCCTGTGCCGGAGCTGGGCTGTGTTTCCTGCTCTCAAGATGGTTCCTGGCCCTGGTGTGGACTCTGGGTTATTTTAAGTCTGTCTGGCTGCAGTTCTTGGAAAGCTTTCCTGTGTCAGTGGGCAGGGCCGGGGCGGAACGTGATCCACGCGCGGGGCCCCGGCCGTGCCAGAGGCCTCGGCTCTCGCCGGGAATGTGGCTTGAATGGCCTGGAGAGCTGAGCTTTGAGCCCAGACAGGCTCAAATGTGCCGTGTTTTGGGCTGGAGCCGGAGCTCAGAGCCCTGGCCCCGCTGCAGGGAATCCGCTCCCGGGATTCCGGCGCGCGTGGCCTCCCCTTCCCGCGGCGCAGGACTCGGGAAAGGCGGACAGTCGCCCTCCTGGGATTTGGGGTTCTCCAAACCAGCTCCCCCCCAGCAGCCTTTTGCTCACTCCCAGGGTAGGGACACCCCATGTCTCACTTTTGCTGCTCCTCATCCCTCAGAGAAATCATCCCAAAAAATCTTTATGGCTGTGGATGTTGGACCTGATTGTCTCCAGAGATCCCTTCAACCCCAACCCTCCCACAGTTCTGTGACTAAAAGGAGGGAAGGCTGTTGTTTGGAAAGGATGGTTTTACCAGATCCAGGGGCTCTGATTCACCCTGGGCTGTGTGTGGCTGATTCCTGAGCTCCCAGTGGAGGTGGGAAGGATTGGAAGGAGCTGCTGTGGGCTCGGATAATGTTGTCTCACGCAGCCCTGTGAAGAAAAAGGAAGGGCAGAGCAAGGAAATAAATGTTTCCATTGCTCACAGCACCCAAAACAAAAGGTCACTGGTGCCCAGTGGTCTTCTGGCACTCAGTGACTTCAGTGGCCAGACCCTGGTTCCCAAAATTATTTCCAGCTTAAACCCCTTTTTTGATTTCTGCTTAAGTCTGAAGAGTCCAAATCCCGAGGGCGCTTTTAAAAAAATGAAGGGGCAGATTCCCAAGGCAGAAATGACTTCTGAAAAAAAATCCAGTTCTGCACTTTGAAGCATCAGGCATGGACCAACATTTAAGTAAAACAACACCAAGGGGACCGGTTGGGCAAGTTCTCAGTGGCCACACGGCCCTGTCTGGCTCCCAGTCCCCTGCAGGGAGCTGAGGACCACACTCCTCCCTCCTCCTCCTCCCCTCCTGCTTTCCTCACGCCCCGTGGAGCAACTGCTGGAGGAAAAGAGAGGAAAAAAAAAAACAAAACCCACTGGGATAAGTGCAAGGTCTGTGTAAGGAAGTCTGGGCAGCTCTAATTTAAGCCAACTGAAGATTCATTGTTTTCCAGACCCTCGGGAGAGCAGGACTTGTTCCGAGGGAGGGATTCGTGGTGGGCAGCACAGGGGGGAGCTGGCAAAGCTTGGAGTGGCTGGAGCTCCTGCCCCAGGCACTTCCCATGCTCCCTGATGGTTTTGTGTCCAAATCTCAGGATTTGCAGCCCCTCAGTGATCCCTCTCTTAAAAAATCCCCGTTTTCCAAGGCAGGGGGACACCACTTGTGATGAGAAATCTGCATTTTAAATAATGTTCTGCTGGGCTTAGGAAGCACCTACAGGTGTCACCAGGTGGGTCTGGCAGCCAGTGAGAGCCATCTCCTGCAGAGCCAAAAATCCCAGTGATTTTTCCTGTGGAATCCCCAAAACTGGGCTGATCCCTTGTCCTCGTGCTCTGGCTCGAAACAGTTTATCATGGTGGATCGATATCAGCACTGGACTTGGTGATCTTAGACATTATTTCCAACCTTTCTGGAATCCTCCCTCACCTGGGTTTTGCTGCTTTAAGGTGTCAGGATTCTTTGCTGCTGTGAAATTTCCCTTTGGGGAAGATCAGACTCGAGGTTTGGTGCAAAAGAAATGAGCGAACAGCGAATTTTCTTGGTGCAGCTTGAAAGGTAGAGAAAGGTTGGATCACCTCCAGCCATCTCTTTAAATTGGGGGTGATTTTACCTCCTCTTGACCCCTGCATTTTGTGTGATCATCTGCAGCCACACCACTCAAGCTCTGATTTATCTGGTGTCCATTTGAATAGTCCACGACACCATTTCCAAGGTTTGCTTTTGGCACTTGCTCTCAAAGACCCACAGCTTTCCTTTCCAGGGGGATAAACCAACTTCAACCCAACCTTCAGCTGGTCCTGAGACTTTCTTTGGCTCTTGCACCAGCTGGAATTAAATAGAACTGGACTTAAGCAGAGCTTAACTGTGTCCTGTGGGCCTGAACTCAGCCCTGGGCCACCGTCCCCAACCACCACTCTGAACACTCTGTGGGAACCTTCAAAACTTCGTGTCTTGGCTCTGAGGGGAGGGAAATGCAGTGCAGAGTCCTGATTTCTGCTTTTTCTCCTCTGTGGGACCTCCTCCTCAGGGTTTCTGGAGCTCTTGTTCTCTTTGTTTCCTGAAAAAAAAAACCCCGTGTTTCCCAAAGCAAGTCAGTGAGAATTTTCCTTTTGTGCACTTGAGGCCTTTCAACCTTCCAGATCTCAAAGCCTTTTAAGGTGTTAATGCAGCATTTTGTCCTTGGCAGAAGTGGTTTTTGCTCCCAGGGTGGTTGATGACAGACAGACACATCCAGGGGCTCCAAGGACAGTCCCCAATCTTGACAGGATCTGGTTTTGCTCTCCCATTTTGGGGCTTTGCTCTCCCATTTTGGGGCTTTGCTCTCCCATTTTGGGGCTTTGCTCTCCCATTTTGGGGCTTTGCTCTCCCATTTTGGGGTTTTGCTCTCCCATTCTGGGTTTTTCCTCTCCTGTCCTGATTTAAGGGTTGGACTCGATGGTCTTGGAGGTGTTTTCCAGCCTCAGTGATTCTGTGATTTATTGTCTGTGCCCTCCTTTTCTCTTGGGTGGCTGGAGACACAATTTCCCTCCATCTCCAGATTGTGTTATACCACCATTTGAACAAGAAAAGAGAATCACACCAGAACTGCAGAGAGAAGTGGGACCCAGGTGCCTTTATAGGGCTTTTTATACCAACTCTGGTAGAATCAAAGCCCCAAATATATTAATTGAATATCTTCCTTCTGTTTCTCTTAAATAAGATAAATTAATTCTACTCCTACAAACGACTTCCTGAAGGTTTCACAGAATCCCAGAGTGTTTTGGGTTGGAAGGGACCTTAAAACTCATCCAGTCCCACCCCCTGCCATGGGAAGGGACACCTTCCACTATCCCAGGTCACTCCAACCTGGCCTTGGACACTTCCAGGGAGGGGGCATTTCCCAGGAAAAGAGTAGAGTGAACCCAAGTGGCCCCAGGAGATCTTTTCTCTTTCGGTGGCAAATTAATTTCTGTGAAGTCTTCCATCAATTAATACTCATGGAAACACCCCAAAATTTCATATCAACAAGCTCATGGTAAAGAAACTGCTCTCTGGGAACCCCAATACAAGCCCTTGTTGATGTTTGGGCACCACGAGGGCAGTTGTAGATGAATTGTTGATAAAAGAGGCTTCAGCAGTTCAGGCCAAGAGGTTGTGTGTGTTTTTGCTGGAAAATCTATTTATTTGGGAGCTCAGTTCCCATCCCAGCCCCCTCCAATAAAGGGGAAAAGCACGAAACAAATGCAAAGCATGGCCTAAACACAAAACAAACAAGCCTCTTATCTGCCAGTGCTTTTACAAATAACAATTAATAAAGCAATAAATCAGGGCCAAAGCCACGACTTTAATCTGTCCTTGGGCTCATTAAAGGAGAGACAATTTGAAATCACCGTCTCCTGAAAGGAACAGCCCTGACAAATCCATTTATGAGGGCAGGATTTGAATGGGATTATTAGTTTAATGAACTATTGAACGGCTTCCAAGAGCAGGAATGTGTTTAACAAAGGGGGAAAGCAAAGATGATTAGTCTGCAGCCAGCTGAGCTCTTGTGCTGGCACCATGATTTCCTGTAAGTTCCTGGCTGCCTGTTTTTTGCTGGGGAAGAATAAAGGCTCAGCTATGGCCTGACTTTAAACACAACTAATTATGTCAAGCCCATTAATTATGAAATGGCCACTGCAATTGAGAAGATGGATGGAGAGAGGATGTTTTGGGGAGGTGTTTGTTGTGCCTCTTCCCTGGCTCTGGCTGATGGGAAG